TGAAAACTATGCACATTGTCAGGTTCTCCATTCGTAACATTCGCTATCCTCGACCCGACATGGTAAACGGTTAGGGCAGGGCAAGTGCAGGGGAGATGAGATGAGACATGTCCTTAACTCAAGGAGTAAGCAATTGGCAAAGCCAAGAACCAAAACCGAACGTCATCAGCTTCAATGGTTTGTCGTCCTGAGGGTGCACTTCAACTTAATATTTGTCCACTTTAGTTTTCAGCCTCAGGAATATTTTATCTGTAACCTTAGAGGTATGTCACTTACAGCTGCTGCATAAACAGTCCCTAAACGCTTCACTGAAGAAGAAAGAGACTCCTACAAGTTTTGGAAAGGGAAGACAACATATGACCTAGCATATTCTACAAGGACTTTTCTTCTTTTATTTTCTTTCCTCATTCCATTTCTTCCTCTTCTGTGATTTAGGAACAAAACTTTTCTAGATCCTTTGGGGTTTCAAATCACAAATTCCCTGTTAACTCCCCCAAAAATGTCACTGTGACCATGGTTAACCTCCTCAAAGCTGTCCTAAAGGCAGCAGAGCCTAACCCTTTGCTTGCATATTGGCATTCCCATGAGTCAATGAGCAAAGAGGCCACCATTTGTTTTCAAGGCTTTTAACTTTATGTCTATGCCCTGAATGAGTCTGCACAGTCCAGTGGCCCAAGATAATGGACTAGTTTTGGTTAACTATTTAGTTCCTGCTTGCTTCTTTACAAAAGTGGCAATGTACATTCCTTGAAGATTTACCTGAGTCATTCTAGACACATTTGCATATACCCTGAAGTCCCATGCTATAAATGTAAGTACTACTGTACCACACTGTAGGGGAGAGTCTACCTCCTGAGATCACAGATCAACCTAGCTTGTGTCTGCTCCTCAAATTCTAGCTTGTTTGTCTTCTCAAAATGAATATAAATATCAAAAGGCCTCACTCTTGCCTGGAAAAGTCTGGAAGATAATGTGGTTGTTTGGCAGTTTATAGTCTTTCTAACAACTTTATACTATGGATGGTTACCACCCACCAATTCTCACCACTCCCAGGAAGAAGTCATTCCTGGAAGAAAATGGGGGAATTGCCTTCTGCTAATGTTCCCTTTCTCCTTTCTGTCCAATCCAATCTACCAAACAAGGAATTAAAACTTAAAGTTGTTTGTTTGTTTGTTTAATGTGTTTTGAGGCCTCCAATGTTGAGCATGAGGTTGAAAACTAATTTTTCACTGATTCTTTTAGACACTAATTTGAGTAATTTGTAACTACACCCAACATGAAGGAAGTTCTTTATGGGTTGAATGTCATTTCTGCTTAGGACAGACATTTTCTCCTGCTCCAGTCTCAAGAGGATCGAGGCTGTGGTGACCTCTGTGCTTTGGTTCCACACAGTGGGATCTAAACCTACCACACGGTTCCATTTTAGAGAAATGACTGCTATTGACTACAATGTGGGAGAAATAACTGACCTGATGTTCTGGACTAATCCACAAACACTCCCAGTGATCAGATGTCACTGAGCTTCAGAATTCAAGTCTCAGAGGGAAATGAGGTGAGGGCTGTGCACACAGGAAGAAAGGGGAGAGAAAAGCCAAACCAAAGCAAACCCTTTCGTGGCTACAGTCGGTCTTCTAGAAATCTGAGGACAGAGGAAATGGATATCTTTGGTCTCTCTGATTCAGATCACTTGAAGTGAGTTAAGCACTTCAGAGATTCTGGGATGGCTAATAGCCACAGGATGACCTGACTCTCCCAGGGGCATCCTATTGAACTAGGGCCCTGTACTTTGGAAGAGCTGGGCTATGGCTATCAGTGCATCATAAGTCTTCTCCTTCCAGAGAAAACGGGTATAAGCATCAAGGCATGAGCTGTCAAGGCTCAGTACCTAAGAAGGGGGTGAGAGGGCAAAAAGCCTGGGAAAGGAATATGAAGAGGACCAAATGAGAGTCATTTCTTAGTAGGCAGTTTAGTTAAGTGCACCTTCAGGTCTACAAAGACATTTCAGCACATTTCAGTGCAAGGGTAAGAGCTTGGTCAAAGGTTGCATGCCTATGCTACACAGATAATCCCTGTACTCCTTGTCATCATGTTCATTGCCATGAGCTACAGATGGATAACCAGCATCCATATCCCCCATCCACTCTCAATTCATAACAACAGCACATCCCCATCCCAGGCAGACAACTTCACCACATACAGCACTTCTGCTTGTAACATATCCAGAAGATTTAACCTGTCCAGAGCACAGCTACAGAGGCAGACCAAGTGTCCAGGGGTGGGATGAGCAGTCTTGGCTTCGTTGTCTCATCCTCTACCCCATCCATCCCATAGTACTGAGTGGATTATTGCTGTTGACAGAGTTCAGTTGTGTCCTAGTTCTCGGGGTCAAAATAAAAGTCCAAGATATCCCTGGAGACAGGAGGAGGAGTTGGCATTTTGCCCCCACCTGGAGACTTGTGAGCATGTAGAAGGAACGCTCAGAATGTTGAGCTAAGGTTCAAAGGGTGAGCAACACATGGGAGAGCTGATACCCTATAGTCAGAGGTGGGGCAGTCCTTGGCCCTCATCTTCCAGGATATTGTTATGTTCACCCCGAATACTCACAAAAGTTGCACAGGGAAAGAAAATGTCCATCTTCCTTCAATTGAGCTAGACAACCTAGACGTCATTGTAGTTTCTTGGCTGATGGCCTCACTTCTTGTCTGAAGAATGGGTGAGGGAAAGGCATGGAAGATTCCAGAAGAAGCCAGGCAAGGATGTAAGGCAGACAGTAGTAGGCAGCCACATGCTAAAAGCAGTATGAAGGTTCCCCACTCGAGTGTCCTTCAAAAGGCAATGAATACCTCTCCATTGGTGAACAGCTGCTGGACTCCAAAGCTTGTGTGGCATGGCGATCTTTCGGCTGGACACAGGGTCCTGTCATTCTCTGGATTCAGTGGTTGGGGCAGCAGCTGCCAGATGTTCAGCCAGAGAAGTGACTTCCATGTGGGGCAATCATAGGAGCATCATAGGAAATATCTGTTGGAGGTTAGCCAAGAAGGCTGGCCTAAGGAAGGTCACCGTGAGCTAAGTGTCCCATGATTTGCAATGATACCCCCAAAGACCAGACTTTCAGAGATCTGCAAAGTGCTGTAGCTGACAGGGAGAGAGTGGGGAGAAGGAACCACTGAACCTGAGGAAAGTCTGTCTGTCCAGAGTGGCCTTCCACATTCCTGAAAACCCTTGCCTTCCAATGGAGAAGAAAACGAACAGAACAAAACAGGTTTAGGGTTCATGTCCAGTTCAAAGATGGGTCTCAGTTTATATCCACAGTCTGGCTGCCAAAGAGACCGAGTCCAATAGATGGCCAGAGAGGCAGCCCTTGCTTTTTCCTTCTCTTCTTTGGGGCGCTGAGGGTAGTGTGGTCTTCTCACAGTGGGGAAGTGGGAGAGTGAGGATGGAAAAACAAACAAAAGCAAAAAGCAAAGGCCTGTGCCCCACCCCTCCCCTCCCTCTGTTAAATAACTTCCCAGCTGAGTTATGGAGGCACTTTCTGCACACTTTCTGCAGTTCACTGTGGGCACAGATAAAGGCACTAAGCAACTATTAAATCAATTGGCTGAGTTTCTTCAGGGAGCCTCAAAGGGAGGGCCGGAAGTCTCCATAGACTTCAAATCATGACTGCAAAAAGAAATCAGCTCTGCTCTGGGTGCATAAAGAGATAAACATTGTCACTTACATCCTAGGAATGCACCAAAAAAAAAAAAAAAACATGCAAAATATTGCACCTGTTTTTGTTTGTTTTGCTTGTATTGTTCAGCTGGAAAGAATGCTTGTCTTAGGTGTATTAAATACCTTGATGACTTATTTAGTTTTCCACAGTTTTCCCTTAAAGGATGGGCATATTGGTCCTCTCTCTGCCTATACCTGCACAGAAGCTTGACATTTCCCTGAGCAAAGGCAGGAAAATTGATGGGAGTGTTTCCCCACCCCCTCCCCCACCCCTCCCCCACCCCCATTGTTTCTTTTGGGTCTTTCATCCCACAGACTTGTGATTTTTAGTATTTTCTAATTTTTATTACTGAAACCATGCATTAATTAAGTCAAGGTACATCTTAATCAAATAGGCCATAATGCTGACTAAGAGGACATGCTTTGAGCTCCAAAAAGGGATTCTTCCCATCTGACTAACATATGCACTTAAATACAGTACTTTAGTTGCTAAGAAAAGAGTTAATAAATGAAGGAGTGCACTTTTGGTGAATGCAAATGAAAAAGGGCCTATATTTAGAAGAGTCAATTTCAACTTAAGCTTATTCCCTATTGTCTGGGTTAACTGTCTCAGCATGCTATTATAAAATAAATGTTATCAGATTCAAACATGCTTACCATTTAACTCTTGTGCTCTTGCAATAAGGAGGGTAAGATGGGAGGTTTTACATCCACGTCTGAAGGTCAGGGGTCAGGGTGCAGGATTAGTGAGAAAAGACCTATATTTGGATCATCTGCAGTTGAGAGAACTTAGCAGCCCTACAGATGAATCAACTCATTTAATCAAGTTACCCTTTTCTTAGAGAATAGACTGTATTTAGGAGAATGGGGCAGATGGAAAATCCCAGCAGACTGGGACCGGTAACAGATGTATAAGGTGCTTTGGGAACCAGTCTTAATTAGTCCAATTTTGGTTGCCTTGTACACAATGCAGTTGATCAAAAGAAAAGGATTTGTCCACTGACCACTGAGGCTGCTATGTGTTCCACAGAGTACACTATCTGAAATGTGGTGTGCAGTGTGCAAAGATTTTAGGGTGGAGTCCCATGCAAATTTGAACTTTATATTCCTAAGTGGTCATCTGATTTTTAGGGGGGTTTTTGTTTAAAAAAAATGCCTATGCCAAAAGATTGGAAATATTTCAGTACAGGGAAGCATGAGTCTTAATTCACATGGACTCCTTAATGGACAGCATTGAAGCCAGTTTTAGAAAATACTTTCTTTTCTCATTTTTAATAAAATGAAAATAGTTTTTTTAATGGATTTTGAAAGCTTCAGGTTTGCCACTCCCCAAATTCACAATGCAGCATTGCATTGACAGTTAAAGAAAGCATCCACAGACTAATGTTTAGTGAAGTATCTACAGAGCGGGCTATGAGTCACCAGGGCTCTTGTTTGGGGCTTTTGCCTGCTTGCCTGTTGCTTTTTAAACATCGGTCAGGAGCTTGCTCTTATTAACGCAGTTTTGATCAGCTGTGGTGCAGTTACCAGTTCTGATATTGGCCTGTCTGTAATGGGCTATGCTATTGTTCATATCCTCTTCAATCTCCATGTATTCAGATTTGCTGATAGTAGAGGAGCTGCGGCGGCTGAGGTCACTGTCAGAGGCTAAGTTAGGAGAGCTAACGTGGAGCAACTGAGCCTGCTCTTCCCCCTCAGTTTCTCGGTGGTAGAAATAGTTGAAATTGGACACAATGACAGGTACGGGCAGGGCAATTGTCAGCACACCAGCGATGGCACACAAGGAGCCCACGATCTTGCCTCCAATTGTCACAGGGTACATGTCACCGTATCCCACAGTGGTCATGGACACCACCGCCCACCAGAAAGCATCGGGGATACTGGAGAAGTGAGACTCAGCTTCTTCCGCCTCGGCAAAGTACACTGCGCTAGAAAACAATATGACCCCAATGAAGAGGAAAAAGATAAGCAGCCCTAACTCCCTCATGCTAGCTTTGAGGGTCTGGCCCAGGATCTGGAGGCCCTTAGAGTGGCGAGAGAGTTTGAAGATTCTGAACACCCTTACCAAGCGGATGACCCTGAGAATGGCCAGGGAAGTGGCCTGCTCGCCTTTCTGATTGCCCTCCTGCTCAGCTATTTCCGTGCCCAGGGTAATGAAATAAGGAATGATGGCCACGATGTCAATGAAGTTCATGATGTTTTTAAAGAAGTCCGTCTTGCTGGGACAGGCGAAGAAGCGCACCACCAGCTCAAAAGAGAACCAGATGATACACAGTGTTTCCACAATGAAGAAGGGGTCTGTGAAGATGTTGGAAGTATAGATGACTGTGGTGTTGTCGATGCGGTGGATGGTGCCCGTGAAGTCCTTGTCATCCTTCAGCTCAGGGAGAGTCTCTAGGCAAAAGATGACTATGGAGATGAGGATGACCATGACTGATACAATGGCGATAACCCTGGCAGGCCCTGAGCTCTCCGGATACTCAAAGAGCAGCCACACCTGGCGCTGGTACTCCTTCTCAGGTAGGGGGCGCTCCTCTTCCTTGATGAAACCCTCGTCTTCCCGGAACTTCTCCATGGCCTCCTCGCCCAACTCGTAAAATTTAATCTCCTCGGAGAACATGTCCAGGGGCACGTTGACCGGCCTGCGCAGGCGGCCCCCTGACTGGTAGTAATAAAGGATGGCATCAAAGCTGGGCCGGTTGCGGTCAAAGAAGTACTCGTTCCTTAGGGGGTCGAAGTAGCGCATGCGTTTCTTTGGGTTGCCCAGCAGCGTGTTGGGGAACTGTGCCAGGGTCTTGAGCTGCGTCTCGAAGCGTAGCCCGGAGATGTTGATCACCACGCGTTCGCAGCATTCGTGGTCGTCGTGGTCGGCCTGCCGTGGGTAGCTGCCATCCTGGGGGTGACCCGGAGCGGCAGAAGCCTCATCCGCATTCTCCCCCGACATCACCGTCATGATGGAAGCAGGGTGCAGGGGTGGGAGGCCAGGAGAGAGCCCGGGGTGTGAAGGAGCAATGGAAGAGGGGTGGGGGGGACCCAAGCGCCCCCCCCACCGAAGAGTGAGTCTCCCCCACGCTCACGGGGAGGGGCTTCAGGGCCAGAAGGTTCAGAGGTCTGCAACTTTGCTAGTTACCACCTCCCCCTCCTCCACTCCGCTTTTTACCCAATTTGGAAAGCCCTCTCACCCGAAGGCCCCCAGTGCAGCTTTTTTTTTTTTTTTTTTTTTTTGAGGTTTGGGTTTTGGGGGTGTGCTCTTTTGTGTGTGTGTGTGTGTGTGTGTGTGTGTGTGTGTGTGTGTGTGTGTTGGCGAGTGGGTTTTTCTTCCTGCTCTGACTGCCTTAACGCACACCTGCCATCACTCCTGGGCTCGCCACGGCACCCCTCCCCTCCTGCAGCCCTCCTAGGACCCGGTGCAGTGCCAGCTCAGCAGATCCCCACGCCTGTCACCCCCTTTGCTGCTCCTTGGCTCTCCCCCCTCCTACCCCTCTTCGCCTGCTGCCTTCTAAGCTCCCACGGGGCGATCGATGGATGCTGCAGAGAAATAAAAAGTGATACGAGGGTAGAAAATCAGAAGCATTCCGATGGGACGAACCCATAGACACCGAAGAGCACAGACGGCTAGCTTTTGTAGAACACACTGGACTCTTACTGGGGTTAACACATACGCACAAACAGACACACAACAGACACCCAGAAATCCAAGTTTGGAAATCTTCCATCCCACTTTTCCCCACTACCCAACAGCCGATCTGTTTACAACTTCGTTAAACTGGAGATCGGAAAAGCGCTTAGAGATGCTGGAGGAGCTCTGGGTCTTGGACAGAAACTCCTCACCCTCACAACCTCCCCCACCCCGTCACCCTAACCTCGGATTCTGCAGCCCCAAACTGGGGAGCTCCCTACCTGGCGGGTCGGCTTGGCGCAGGGGCGGTGCTGAGTTGGCGGCGGAGAGTCGGAATGCGGCAGGTCTCCTTTGCAGCAGTCGGAGCGAGCCACCTCCACAGCAGCATCGGAGAGGCACGGGGCCCCTCGTGGTCCGCGTCCTTCCCCTCTTAGGGGTCCGATCGTTTTATTGAGCAGCTATGGAGGAAATGTCCGTTCCCTACCCCCATCCTCACACAGCACAGGTAACCTGGATGCTCTGTCCTCTCTCCGCTGCAGTGAGTTCCGGAGGATGCGGGATGGAAAAGCAAAAAGGCCACCCTCTCCCGAGTCACCCAAGCAAATGGCGATAAGCACCACTCTCGCCCCCTCCGAGCACTACGGGAGCCCTTGATTCGATCCCGAGGGAGGAGGGTGGCCCAAAGCCTGGCTGGCTCTACATGGCTATTGGGTCTCCGCACCACCGCACAGAACTCGCTCCGCAGAGCCTTCAGCAGCTCCGAGTGGAGCAGAGAGTGTGCGGCCGCAGGTTCGCTTGGTCCATTTCTGGGCGCTGCAAGATCAGCAGAAACCTGAGAAAGCGCCTGGAATGCGGAGCAGTGATTGGCCCACCAGGGCGTGGGTTGGGGAGGGCGGGGGAGGGCAGAAGCGAGGAGGTAGATGGAAAATATGAGGGGGTGGTTTGGCAGGGGGGGGGGTTGTCATTCAGTTCCCATCCTTGCCAGCATAGCTTTCCTTCTTTTTCCCTCCCCTCCTCCTCGAAAAGCCCACCACCAACTCCTTTTCCCCGGTGGCCCGCAGCTCCACCCACGCACGGCCCTTAGCTGCACGCGCGACCTTCCCCGGGAATTTCACATTGGAGATGGTCAGGTCCGACGCAATGCAGGCGGTGATGTCCCTGGCAGAACTCCTTGGACCATTCTGCTTTAGATGCAGTCACACAAGCAACCCTCCAGCATCTCTCTCCTCCGCGCTACCCCTCCCTTCCCCCAGAGGCCCCCCAGTCCGGCCCACCCTACTACCCCGTCACCCCTGACCTCCACGCCAGCCGCACTCTTGAAGGGTACAGAGTTTGGTTAGAGCGCTGCAGTTAAGGATCCTGGGTTTCATCGAGAAGGTAGTGCCAAGTGTCTGTTCCTCTTGAGCCTACCAGAGGGAGCTGAAGTTTCCTTACAGTGAGAATATTCTGAACCGCAGAGAATGTGATGGGGGCGGGAAAGGGCGGTGGACGAAGGCATCCTGGGTTTGTGGGTTGTCTGCCAACTTGGTGCTAATTGGAACAAACGTGAGGAGAAGCAAGTCGCCCATTTGTCTCCCACCCTCGGTCCTGCCTCCTGAACCCCCCCCCCCCGTGGCCCTTTGCCTCCTCAGGACCACTTTCTAGGCTCTACACATAGACACGCAAGGGTCCCTACAGAGGCGCAAGGCCATCTGAGCTGGGGACATGCTCTGGCATCCCCAGAGGCGATAGCAGTACCGGAGGAGGCAGCCAGCAACTCTGGTCCTTCCACCGCCGCAGAGCCTCTGAGGAGCCCGCAAGAACCCAGAGTCGCCGCTGATTGGTTCCTCGTAAGCCTTCGCACAGCCCCTTCGCACCACCGCAGCTAGTGTCGCCACCCGCCCACACCACCCACCACTTTAATCAAAGCCAATGATCGCATCCTCCTGGCTCTATTGTGGCTAGTGGCAGGCAGGGGGCTCTACAAGGATTCCAGGGATACAGCTAGTTAAATCCCTCCTCCAGATTCAGATCCTGGCTTTCCTTTCAGAAAAATAAGTGTTTGTTCTCTCCTCTCCTCCAGATTCCTACCCAGTCTTTTCTTCGATGAACAGCAAGTTCTATTGCACAGTAAGTTCTCCTTCCCACCTTAAACTCCACCCAGTGCACGCTGGCCCCTCCCTCCCAGAACCTCCATGTCCCCTCCTCTTCTGCACTGATGCACTCTCTATTGGTGAAAACAAACAAACAAATAACAGTAAATGCAAGGCTGTACCATGAAATGCCAAGCATGGTGTTTTGGTGGCAGCGTACCATGAAATGCCAAGCATGGTGTTTTGGTGGCCACTGCTGCTAGAATCTCATTGCAAGCCAGGTGCCTGTAATAAGCCTTTCCTGGCCGTGCCCTAGCGTGGTGCATCCTTCTTCCGATTCTCCAGTTTCACTGTGGTGCTCTCCCGCTTCCTTCTTCCTGCTCCTGAATCATCGTTTCGCGTGATGATCCACCCCTTGTTATAAGGAGATTGCCTTATTAGAAAAGTATCTCGGACTACATAGGATCCCAATTCATAAATTCAGAGTTGTATATGATAGGATTAGTGGGTCCTTCACATACATGCCTAATAGATGTGATTGAAGTGGGATTTGAACCTCTAAGGAACTGGGGGTGGGGGTTTTGAGATAAGCATTCAGCATTTTTGTTTTCACATGAATCCTCAGTGGCCAGGGGGTCCTAAGGCATTTAAGCATTCGACACATTTGCTCGGCCCCAGCTATGGACCAGACATGTCCTAGCACTATATGACCAGACACGGTCCCAGATCACAGGGAGCTTACATTAATGGGAGGCACAGACAATGAATCAAAACTCTAGAAAGTAGGTCCAGTACTGGTATTGGTTTACAGACAAGCAGGCCCTCTCAGCAGAGGGATCATTGGAAACCCCAAACACAGAGCAGACTGTATGAACAAATGTGTAGGTCCTAAGGCCAAAAAGACCTTAGGAAACAAAAGGTCATTATGGGCAGAAAGGAATTACCAAGTTAGGTCATGCTGGATGGAACATGCAGGGCCCCTTAGGCATGAGGGAAGTTTCTTTTATTTGTGTTGCAATGGGAAAGTACTGAAGGACATGCATCAATGTGACAATATAAAATGGTTGTGTTGAGGAGGGTGTTGTTTACTTTTGTTGTTTGAAATGGTATCATATTGAGCCCAGACTGGCTACAAAGTCACAGCAACCCTCCTGCCTCAAACTCCCATAGTCTCAGGATTACAGGCATGAGACACCGTGCTCTGTTTGGGTTTTGTTTATTTTATTTTTATTTGTTTGTTTAGTGGGAGGACACATGTATGAAGTCAGAGGGCAATTTTGAATTGGTTCTCTCCATCTACTGTGTGGATCCCAATAGTCAAGTACAGGTCATCGGGTTTGGTGGCCTACACCTTTACCCAAGGAGCCATCTCACCAGGCCTGCTTTGGGGTTTTAAAGGACAAGAATTGTGGAAACCAGGGTACTGGCATGCCAGGTGTCACAGCAGTGCTGGCTTACACTAGAGAACATGCCCGGAAGATCTCACAATTGGCTTATGTTTTCAGAGGGAGTAAAGTGGGGATCTGAGGAGAGAAGGATTCCAACAATGTCCCCTAGGCCCGTGGCCTCAATGTCTGGACAGGTGTTAATATCATGTACTAGAATAGAGTCTGAGTTCTCTTCTCTCCCATCTGAATGTGAAGCCTGGAACTTTCTATGTGCGCTCCTTGCTGCCTGGTCATGTTCTCCTCATCTAACGATTCCCACTGTAGACACTGTTGGAAGAACCAGTTCTGCGTGTAGCCACACTTTGCTTCCCAGGGTGGCCACACTGCAATGAGTGGTACTGGCTTCCCCAAACTACAGAAAGGTCCAGAGAACCAAACAGCCACCTGGGAATAAAACATTGCCTCAATAAACCAGTGGAAGCTGCCCTGTATGAGATGCAAGCTAGGATGAAGTTGTCTCACCTTTGTTCTTCTCAAGGCCAAGCAACCATGTGGTCCAGCCACAGGGCCCAGTGACAGGTTGTGTCTCTGTGTTCATGAACCAGTGGCCAACCTTGTAGTCTTTTGCCTTGTCCCTACCTGTTCACTCCCATATTTTAACTACTTTGGGATCACAGCATCCAGTAAATATTTAGCCCTTAGGACCTGTCTCTGATAATGCTGCATGGGGACCTGTGCTGAGGTTGGGGAATTAAAGACTAGTTTGGGGGCATGACTGAGATATATATATATCTCAAGTCAGAAATGTGGAAGTAGGTAAAGTGGGTTTCTCATCAGCAATAACATTTGGGCTGGACACTTTTTAGTTCTTGAAGACTGCCCTATGGAAGTGTTCAGCATCCCTCTCCCTGCAAGACATCAGCAGCACTTACCCCCAGCTGCCACAACCCAAACTATCACCACAAGGTCGCCTTCAATTTAGAACCACAGAAATAGATGGTCCTCATGGAGAGCCCTTGAACCTAAGCATAGAAAGAGAGGAACTGTTTGCAACTTGTGCTCCAGGATCCTCTAATGCCAGGAGGCCAGTTTAAAAAAAAAAAAAAAAAATAGGAAGAAAGAAAAAGAAAAACCAGCAAA